AGGGCCCATGCCAGACATAGCGATGCTCAATCAGGACGTTGCCAAGTCAGTGCTGCTCGAGTCCGACTACGCGCTCGACGATGGGGCCAGGGCCACGCTGCAGGAAGGTTCAGAAGGTCAAGTACTGGAGAAGCCGAAGATACAGCATGCCGAGAGGTACGGCCTGAACCAGTTCCGCACCGACAAGTTCAGCGGGGTGACTACAGAGGTGATGATCCCGTGGAGGATACAAAGAGCAGAGATCTTTGTGCTCAACCTGTTCTGCGGGCACAGGCGCAAGGACGACGTGCAGCATGCGTTCGAGTCAGCGCCGAAGTTTGAGGTGATGTCAGAGAAGGTGCACATCATGATCCTCAGCATCGACGCGGCGAAGCATCGACGTGGCGATCGACGCGCAGCGCTGCGACCTCATGCGCCACGACAGCTTGATGGCATTCCACGACGGCATCCTAAGAAGGCAGATCGCGCTGTCAGGAGGAGGACCGCCGTGCGAGACATGGAGTGCAGCGAGGTGGTCGGAGCAGCCAGGGCCGCCGCCATCACGATCACATGACAAGTTCTGGGGAGTGGCCCACGCGTCACCGCAGCAGCGGGTCCAGCTCGCCGTGGGGAACGCCCTGATGCAGTCCATGGTGCTCCTCCTCGCGGCGCACCTGGTGGCGGGCGCGGCAGGGTGGTCGGAGCACCCGATCCCGTGCAACTGGCGGCTGGCAGCCGTCACATCATGGACGTGGGAGCCGTGGCTCGTGCTGCAGTCGGCGCCGTGCACCGCGGCCACCGACTTCGACCAGTGCGAGCGCGGCCAGCTGAGCAGGGCCCCGACCAGGCTCTTTGGGCTCCGCATGGCGGGGCTGCACCGCCGCCTGGTTGCGACGCCCGGGGGAGGAAAATGCCCCCACGGGCGCGAGGCCCGCGCGACGCTGTTAGGACGCGAGGACGGCTCCAGGGCCTTCTGGACGGCGCGGAAGAAGGTCTACCCCCCGGGCCTCTGTCGCTGCATCGCGGAGAGCATTCTGGAGACGCTTGAATCGGCCCTGGATGCGGCGCTCCCGGAGGCTCCTACTGATGAATCCCAGTCTCGCCGCCTCCTCGTGCAAGGCCTGGGCGACTTTTATGTCTCAGAGATCCCGGTGGTTGAGGACGGGGCCAGGGAGTGGGCTCCGGATTTTGCGAAGGGGCAAGGGCCGCAGCAGGCCTGACCCAGGTAAGGGTCAGGGTCAGGGTCGGGGTCAGGGTCGGGGTCGGGGTTAGGGCAAGGGCAAGGGTAAGGGTAAGGGTAAGGGTAAGGGTACGGGTACGGGTACGGGTACGGGTAAGGGTAAGGGTAAGGGTTAGTGTAAGGGTAAGGGTAAGGGTAAGGGTAAGGGTAAATGTAAGGGTAAAGGGTAAAGGGTAAAGGGTACAGGGTACGGGTAAGGGTAAGGGTAAGGGTAAGGGTAAGGGTAAGGTAAGGTAAAGTAATGCAAGGTAAGGTAAGGTTACGCAAGGTTACGCAAGGTAAGGTAAGGTAAAGTAAAGTAAGGTAAAGTAAAGTAACGTAACGTAAAGTAAAGTCAAAGTAAAGTATAGTAAAGGATAGTAAAGCACAGTAAAGTACAGTAAAGTACAAGTAAAGTACAAGTAAACTAAAGTAAGGTAAAGTATAACGTAAAGTATAAAGTGCAGTAAAGTAGAGTACAGTAAAGTAAAGTGAAGTGACGTGAAGTGAGGTAAAGTAAAGTGAAGTGAAGTAAAGTAAGGCGAAGTAAAGTACAGTACAGTAAAGTAAAGTAAAGTCAGGTACGGTACATTACAGTACAGTATAGTAAAGTAAAGTAGAGTAGAGTAGAGTAGAGTAGAGTAAAGTAAAGAAAGTAAAATAAAGCCAAGCAAAGTAAAGTAACTTTTTGGGCGCGGACTGGATCGCCGCCCCTTTATTTAATTGGAAGCCACACAGCTAGTCGTAATTATCAGAGTTCTCACTCTCCCTATTGACCGAGAGGAAGTCAGGGCCCTTGCGACGAAGGCTACGATGGTGCTCGAGACGGACAGGGCCGACCAGCCAGAGGACATGTTGGCGATGCAGAACGACAGGGCTTCTGCGGCCGAGGCGTTCTGGAGCAACGACGAGGACCTTGGCGTCCGCGAGCGATGGGCCCAATGTGCGTGGCAACCCGCTCCCACGCCATGAAATTTGAAGAACGGTTCGCGGTGTCAGCCCCGCCCCAGACAATTTAATGCTCTGCGCGGGGCCCGTGGGGAGGGAAGTCTATGGGCGGGGCCTTGTGGTTCCGACGTTGCGGACGCGTCGCGGGGGCTCTTTGGGCGGGGCCCGGGAACCACGTGCGCGGCGCCCCATGGAGGCGCACAATTCCACGGCGCCAGCGTGCCCTGCTTATCACAGGATCCCGAGCCAAATCGTGCAAGCACTGTTCGGGATTGCAAACCGTCGCGCCGATTGCACGTGGTCGCTCTCCCAGAACAACTCACCCACCCCTCGCCCTCGTGCCGCAGAGCGCACAGCATGTTATTGCATGAATTCTTCGTGTTTCCCAGGGTAGCAATAAGTTTTTCCCGAAGCAGAATCGTGGCAAACTTTGGCGCTGGCTGACTGCTACGTGGCACCGCTTCTACACGCTGACAGGTAAAGGTTGGGGCCGTTTCCAACAGACTGCTCCGCCCTGCGACAGGCGGCCGCCTTTGGAGTGGCCGAGCCTTACGCTTTCGATTGACCAGGGCGGAGACGGCTGGTCTGCGAGCCATTTCCTAATGAGTTGGGGCGTGAATTTGGTGCTTCTCTTTGATCCAAACCACAGGGTGTGGAATGACTGTGCGCTTGCACTCAGAGACGCTGGGTTATATTATTGGGTTCTCATCATGATCACGGTCCTGAACCTGGACCACGGCCCGTGGAGTTCGGCGAGATGGTGGGGGGAGCTCAAGGAAGGGGTTTCCGAGTACACCACGGTCGCCAACGAAGCTTGCCCAATATTCGACGCGTCGTGGCCGAACATCAAGGATGACATCAACGACCACCCGGGGCATCCCGACGACGCGCTGCTGAGCCAGAGTGACGCCTTCAAGGGTACCGGCAAGTGCGTCGACCACAAACAAGAGAAGGTCGCTTCGTCCAGGTGGTTTGGGTATTACTTCTCGGCCAACAGATTTCTCCAGATATGGTCCCAAAGACTCTGCGTGATGATGTGCATGATGATTGCACTCGGATGCGCAATGTCCGCCTTGAGGCATAAGCTCGACGCCGCCCCATTGAAGCCAAGAGATGAAGGGGGCGACGTGGCGAAGACAACGACAGGAGCTGGTCGTGAGGAAGTTCGGCAGCTCAGAATGAGCTGCCCGAACACCGTCAGTTTTGCGGCGCAGATGTTGAGTAACAGGTGGCTCTACCACGCGAACGTCATCGTCCTTGGCGTCTTGAAGCCCGTTGCGGAGAGGTACAGCGAGCAGAACGTTGAGAACCGATCTGGTGCGAAGATCGTGGAGATAGTAATGAAAAGGGCAATGAGTTGTGGACTGGACGAGCCAGCAGAGATCGTCCGAGTGATGAACTCGCGCGTGCTCTTCGAGAAGTGCCAGTGCCACTTCAACGGGTGCTCCAACGCGATTGCACAATTGCCTGAGGATGATCCTAGGGTGCTTGCTGAAGATGGTTATGCTCGCATCATCGGTGATTTTGGAGTTTCCCTCATTACTCGACGCTACCGTTCTCTGATGCAGTTCAAGACGTATCCGCTGAAATTCCCAGGCCTTCTGGACCCAGACCGAGGCGGCGACATATTGAACGATATTCGACAGGAGTACGCTGATTTTCAATTTGCGGAGGCGCAGGTCGGGATATGGCGGCGGAAAGTAGCGAGGAGGCATCTTTTCAAACGTCTCCACTCGCAGCAGATCATCGGGGCGCTTGAGGCGTCTGGTTGGCGCGTCACAGACGAAATCCAAGATCTCCTGCGCAGACAGTGGGACGGAGTTACCCGCGCCAAGATCGTCGAGGATGCTGCGAGGGAGCTCAGACAGGAGGAGACAAATCAAACTTTCAAGAAGGTAATGTCTGGAGCGAGGGCTTGGGCGAAGCTCATCAACGGCACGATTGAGACGACGAGGTTTAAGTACAAGAGCTTGAAACATAAAAACGTTGTCATCAAAAGAGGCTTGGCAACGAAACGACGCCCAGCAGCGTTCAAGGTTCGACCGAGACTTTGCCCCGAGGTTTTCCACGACATCGTCAGCGAACGCAGGGCTGCACCGTATTTTTCGACATCGCCCTTGATGATGTCAGCAACAGTGGAAGACATGGCGCTGATCCGCCACGTGCGCTCCATCGACGACCTTGGCGCCACGAACACGGCATGGCACTCTCGACTTGCAGGGTACAAGCAGAACCGGCTCCTGATTAGGACGCCTACTCTTGCTGGTGGCAGGTGGTACTTACCACTGGGATCCACATCTGGCGCGCGTGTCCCATCCCTGCCAATCTTCGAGTGCTTGCACATGGGCAAGACGTACTTCAAGCTCGACGCGAACATGAACAACATGGTGTTTTTCCTGTTACCGATTGGGACGCTGTGGAAGCGTGGTCGTGCAGATGGCGGAGCCCATTTGGCGTTCGGTGCTCGTCTGGCCGTTGGCTGGAAGGCTTCTCGAACCTCATTTTGGAGCCAACGTCGGCGGCGCCGTCCAAGCTGGTCGTTGCGGGAGCGCTCGCAGCCTTTTGGGGCATGCCCAAGGTGATGCTGACGAGGATTGCGAGGGCGATTGGGCTTGTCGTGCCGGCGACCATGAGCGTCGTTAATTTGTTGATGGCCATCGCTGCGAAAGTCATCCCCGACATCACTGACGAGATCAAGCTCGCCATCTTGAGGTGCAGGATTGACCTGGGCGACGAGGCACTGCAGCTTCTCTTGCAGGAGGTCGTCGAGGAAGAGCTGCCCGAGAAAGACTTGGCGGACTGCAGCAAGGAGCTGGACGACCGCTCGGAACTCAAGGGCGCCATTTAGAAGGAGATGAAGAAGTTGAAGCAAAACATTGTTGATGAGAAAGCTGCGGAGGAACTCGCCGCAGGAGGGAAAGGCAAGGCCAAGGGGGAAGGCAAGCCACCTCCTGCGCCGCCAGCGAAGAAGTACCCGCCGAAGGTAGAGCTCCCCGATGACCTTAGCAAGGAGGTGATCGCCGAGTACCTGCCCCTAGGCAACAAGATCGGCCTGGGCGAGTTGGACCAGTGCTGGCGGCTGACAAGCTACGACAAGCAGTTCACGAGGTCTTTCAACCTTTTTTACGCCGAAAGGTGCAGCAGAGATCTTGATCAAGCTTGCTTGGAAAAAGGGCAATTGATTTGCACTACGAGGATGCTTGCCCGTTCGAGGACTTCCACCTTTGAGTGAGCATCACGCTGGCCGAGCCTGCGGCCGAGGTGGATATCAACACTATTACGTGTGATGGTGTTGAGAGAATATTGTGCCCACGACGTCATTCACCAGGTCCTTCGAGCGTTTCTGAAATCCAGCGTTCTTTGATGTGTTATCGCGTGCGTGTTTGCTCCAGTGCAATATTCCGTCACGCATTGTTGGCCACAGCTGGCAGCTCGCATGCACTGGTGCCTGCGGCAAGCCGCCCGTGTTACCGACACAGGTCCAGTCCTGCTTGCCTTCGGGCGTTCCTGGCGCCGCCCTGGGGATCTCGGGATTTGTTAGGGTGCTGATGCGGGCCCAGAGGCCCAGGTGGAAGGGGCGATATGCGCTAAACCCCATTTGGCATTTCAACGTGTGTGGCCCAGGCCCTGGTATATGGCTCATACGTGGCCCTCTGGGAGCCTCTTGGAGCCAGGTCCAGCATCTCGGGGGCCTCTCAGGGGGGATCCTTGGATGGTCATGGCGCCCATGAAAGATGTTCGTGCGACTTGTGGCCGTCTTGTGCACGCTTCATTGTCTCGTGGCGCATACTGTGTCGTAGCGCCCCACGTTTCCCACGCTAGTATATCACAACCTGACGTACCATAGCGTAACGTAACGTCACATCGCACGGCATGGCATAGCATAGCAATTGGTGACATAGCATTCCACAACATATCATAACGTGATGCACCCTAGCATGGCACTCGTGACAATACATGACGTTAAATTTAACAAGTATTTTGAGACACTATTGGTTCGTTTGGCTTCGGTGTAACAAAACAAACTTTCTGGCGCGCGACCCATCCATAGAGGCATAGCGCAACGTACAGGCCCATAGCCAAGCGCGAAGTAACGCGATGCAGCCTAGCAGGGCATAGCAGCGCATAGCACGGCATAGCATGCTATACCATAAAATGCACATATCATACCATAACATATCATACCATGACGCACCCTGACATCATATACGCCAGCGAGGAAAACGACGACGAGAGCCAACGTCCAAGGCCTTCTGCGGGAACCTTACCCTCGAGAGCCCCCTTTGTTGAGCGTGGGCAGATCGCCAGTGCCACAGCTGACGCAAGGACATTCATAACTTCGCTACCCTGCATGGCCCTCACGATCCACGCACGGGTAACATAATGCATCATATTGTCGCATCAACGTGGCGCTTACAATGTATATTGGGCCACCACGCGCACGATAAAACTAAGACGCTCCTATGGGCTGCTTGCGGGCATTGGTTGCCGCGATGCGTTTGCTTGACACTTGCGCGTTTCATGCGCCATCGGAACGAACAGCTGGCACGGGGACCGCGTTGAATATGTAGAATATGGCGCACGTTTAGTTATAAGGGTCGCGCGGGCCATCCTTTGCGATACTGTGACATCCATGCTGGCCACAGGTCAATGGCATGGTGCATTCTGATCTGTGCCCCTTTTTAAAAACGGCAGTGGAGATGGTCATGCCACGCGCGTTGTATCAACATCATTTCGCCGGTGACCCGTATGATGGCCACATGGGCCATGACCAAACTTATTTTCATCCTTTTGACCATTCGATCGGCCACAACAACATACAACATGTGTAGTCTGAGCGGCGGCCAGTCGTGCTACTACGACTAATAGCACGAATAGAAATCCAAGCAGCATTTGCATTGCCGCGTCTGCATCGGTTACGGCGCTAGTGAACAGTTGGTCGGGCATCTGCGCCTCGGGGCAGCATTCGCATGTTCAGTTAACGTTGTCGTTCCAAGACGCGAGCCAGTGTTTACACTAGCGCTGGTGGCAGCGGCTTAGTAGCGGAACCGCCCGCGAAACATGGAAAGCCGCCAGCCATCAAGCGAGGCGCCATGGGCCTCCCTCTTCCCCATCGGTGGCCGATAATCCCGAAACGCCAGTCACGCACGCGACGCACGCGGGGCGCCGACGGGCGCCCGCCAGGCGAGAACCCGAAACCACCTGACCAGTACATTGCAGCACGTGAGACGCCCTCTCTGCGAGCGCTGCTCAAGTACTACAGATCGCCTGTTTGCCGGGGGGCGTTGCGAAAAAAAGCAAGCGCCGCAAATCGGCGATTGCGTTTCTGCCGTTGTCATGTTCGGCCCCCATCGTCGCCCGATAGCCACGTCGACGCACGGGTTGTTCGAGGCAGATTCCGCGTTGCGGCTACTTGGGGGGCGCCCGCACGAACACCCAACAAAACCACATGGCGCCCAACATGTGACAACTACCAAACGCAAGGTGTCGATAATGCGGTTCAGCACAGGTGCCGCCGCGCGCCACGCAGCATATGCGTGGCGCACTGTGAGCGTGCGCTACAGACGGAAGGCTTGTGCGCGCTCAGGACCTCAAAAACATGATACCAAAAAACAGCTAAATTTAGCTCACACACCTCGTGGAAGTACAGGCTCAACGACACGCTCAAGGCAGCGGCGGCGCAGCTAAGCAGGTTACACGCGGCACGCACGGCAGAGAAACGATTCTTTGCCATGGCGCAGCCAGCAGGTGTGCCATACCCCACGAGAGAGGGCAGCCCGTTCGGGCCCCCACATGCAGACGAATCAGATACAGTGACGGCACGACAGTGGACATGCCCGTGGTGCCAGAGGAAGTTCAGGCGCCAGAGAGGGCTCAGGGTCCACATCTCACAGCAGCACTGGACAATGGTCAGCCTAGCGCGTATCTGGGCGGGATCAGCCAGACAGCGCCAAGGGTGCCTGACACTGCTCGACCAGACCCACCACCTCACCGAGCACCTGGCGATCGCAGCGCCCGCTTGTCTCGTCGCGACCATTGGGGCGGGAGAGGCGCCCAGTGCCGAGGCGAACGAGATGCGCGCAGAGCTCGCGCGAGGACTGCTACGGAAAAGAGTGAACATACCCGCCATCAAGACAGCAGGGCCCATGCCAGACATAGCGATGCTCAATCAGGACGTTGCCAAGTCAGCGCTGCTCGAGTCCGACTACGCGCTCGACGATGGGGCCAGGGCCACGCTGCAGGAAGGTTCAGAAGGTCAAGTAGTGGAGAAGCCGAAGATACAGCATGCCGAGAGGTACGACCTGAACCAGTTCCGCACCGACAAGTTCAGCGGGGCGACTACAGAGGTGATGATCCCGTGGAGGATACAAAGAGCAGAGATCTTTGTGCTCAACCTGTTCTGCGGGCACAGGCGCAAGGACGACATGCAGCATGCGTTCGAGTCAGCGCCGAAGTTCGAGGTGATGTCAGAGAAGGTGCGCATCATGATCCTCAGCATCGACGTGGCGAAGCATCGACGTGGCGATCGACGCGCAGCGCTGCGACCTCATGCGCCACGACAGCTTGATGGCATTCCACGACGGCATCCTAAGAAGGCAGATCGTGCTGTCAGGAGGAGGACCGCCGCGCGAGACATGGAGTGCAGCGAGGTGGTCGGAGCAGCCAGGGCCGCCGCCATTACGATCACATGACAAGTTCTGGGGAGTGGCCCACGCGTCACCGCAGCAGCGGGTCCAGCTCGCCGTGGGGAACGCCCTGATGCAGTCCATGGTGCTCCTCCTCGCGGCGCACCTGGTGGCGGGCACGGCAGGGTGGTCGGAGCACCCGATCCCGTGCAATTGGCGGCTGGCAGCCGTCACATCATGGACGTGGGAGCCGTGGCTCGTGCTGCAGTCGGCGCCGTGCACCACGGCCACCGACTTCGACCAGTGCGAGCGCGGCCAGCTGAGCAGGGCCCCGACCAGGCTCTTTGGGCTCCGCATGGCGGGGCTGCACCGCCGCCTGGTTGCGACGCCCGGGGGAGGAAAATGCCCCCACGGGCGCGAGGCCCGCGCGACGCTGTTAGGACGCGAGGACGGCTCCAGGGCCTTCTGGACGGCGCGGAAGAAGGTCTACCCCCCGGGCCTCTGTCGCTGCATCGCGGAGAGCATTCTGGAGACGCTTGAATCGGCCCTGGATGCGGCGCTCCCGGAGGCTCCTAGCGATGAATCACAGTCTCGCCACCTCCTCGTGCAAGGCCTGGGCGACTTTTATGTCTCAAAGATCCCGGTGGTTGAGGGCGGGGCCAGGGAGTGGGCTCCGGATTTTGCGAGGGGAAAGGGCCGCAGCAGGCCTGACCCAGAGAGGGGCCGCTTTGAGGCCCCGACCCCCCCGCCCAGGGCCCCCCAGGCCCCCCCCCCCCCCCCAGGATCCTGGAGACGGCCAAGGCCCCACAAAGGAGGAGGCCTGCGCTGCTGGGATGATCGGAGTCCCCCCTCTCCTCTGCCCCCCGACTCCGCCTCCGCCTCCGCCTCCCCCTCCCCGCCCTCCTCTGACCGACGCCCAGCGGCGCAGGATAGCTGAAAATAAAGCCAAGTGCCAGCGGATACGGCAAGAACGCCGTAGGCCGTGGGCCTCCAGGGGCCTAGACCTGCGATTCGCCTGGGGGGCCCCAGAGGGCTGCCCCATGCAGGTGAGCCCCTGCGGGGCTCGGGCTGGCTTGCCAAGGGGCGGGCCGGCCTGGGCCCAACAAATCTTCGGAAGGGCCTGACAAGGGACCGGGCCCGCCATGCCCTCCACTTGGCTACAGGCCAGGTCCGAGCCGGCTCATTATAAGGGCCACTGCACGTCGGCACCGACAAGACGCAGAGTTCCACCACCACCACCCCTCCTTGCCTCTGCTTTCGGCGCGCCTCTCACGCGCTTCGTAGCCCCAGAGGGAGCTCCACCGAAGGCCCCAGCGGGGATGGTCGCGTGCGGTTCCCCCGGCAGCGCTTCGTGGCCCCATAGGGGGCTCCACGGAAGACCCCACTGGAGGTGTTCGCATGCGGTATCCCCACCCAAGGCAGCGCTTCGTGGCCCCACAGGGAGCTCCACCGAAGGCTCCAGTGGGGGGGGTCGCATGCGGTTCCCCAACACAGGGCAGCGTTTCGTGG